AAAAAAAAAAAAAAAAAAAAAAAAAAAAAAAAAAAAAAAAAAAAAAAAACGGGGGGTAAAAATGGAGAAGTATAAAGCTGGAACAATGAATCATTTAAGTTTATTGTACAAGATTGAAACAAATTATAGTAAAATATATGATTGCATAGCTAATAAATTCTTCCAAAAGAGAACCACCTGAATCTGCTGCTGCTTCAGCCTCCACTGTCCACGCAACTATAAATGTCAATTTTGTATATGAAATGTGAAGAAATCAGATGAGACTTCAAAAGAATAAAGAATATCAGTCCAAAGAAGACAAAGTTAAGCTGTAACTTTTCACCTTGGCTAGAATGTCTTTGTGAGGTCGATCATTGCCCATGCTTCATTAATCGCTTCCATTTGATGTCTTCTCTCTGCATTCACATTTCACAACATTATTTGCTGTCAGTCTCTTCTCAAAAAGATGCTGGGAAACTATCCATTTGGTTTATAAACAAGTTTTATATCATTGATGATGATTGATTCCTTTACCTTGAACTCATCTTTTGCTTTGGTCTTTTCCATTTCTTTTCGCTGCCATGAGTCTGGCTTCCAAAGGGTCAACCACAATCAACTAACCCATTCTTATCAGGAGATACCTAAACTATAGGATCCCACGTTGGTTGGAGAGGAAAACGAAGCATTCTTTATAAGAGTGTGGAAACCTCTCCGTAACAGACACATTTTAAAAATATTGAGAGGAAGTCTGAAAGGAAAACACCAAGAATAATATTTGCTAGCTAAGGGCTTGGACTGTTACAAATAGTATCAGAGCTAGACATTGAGGGATGTGTCAGCGAGGAGGCTAAGCCCCCAAGGGGTGGGCACGAGACAGTGTGCCAACAAGGACACTGGTCCCCAAAGAGGGGGGGATTGGGAGATCCCACATCGATTGGAGAAGGGAACAAATGCCAGCGAGAACACTGAGTATCGAGGGGGGAGGGGGAGGGGGGTGACGAAACATGTTTTTATATGGGTGTAGAAACCTCTCCCTAGCAAACGCGTTTCAAAACCTTGAGGGGAAGCCCAAAAGAGAAAGCTCAAAGATGCTTGCAGTGGGCTTAGGCTGTTACATAAACAATTGACACGATACATGTTTGTTACCGAACAAAAGCACATAAACAACTTGAAAATGACTTTCATTGGAAGAACAAGAACAACACCATTCAAGTTAAATATAATGAACGGGTTAGTATACCATACTGTCCAGCTATATTCGATTACATGAAGGAAATGAGGAATACATTGCAGCTTGATGAAAAAGGATCCAAAAGTAAGATTAAGCATTCGATCACAGATTCTCCAAATTAAATAAAATCCATAACATCAAACAACTTGCACAGAATAAACAAGAAACTAAACAACGATGCTATCAACTGTCAATACACTTAGAATCCAAAGAACCAGCCAGATAACCACAATCGAACTCCATTGTAATAACAAAATATGCTGAAAGATGACTATATTGAAATCCGAGTGGGGGGCAGGGGAGATTTCTCTAAATATATCAACGAAGTAGACAGTTTGTTACCATCAAGAATGATGCAGAGCAATTAGCAAGGATGAAATAGTGTTTCAGGATTTAGAAGAATACCCAAGAATCAGGATGGAGAATGAATTAAACAAATTTATTGACTATTGTTTCAGTTCCTTTCTAGAGCTCTTGGCTTATAACTATTTTTTACAAGAAACTTCAAAAACTAGAGTTTTAACATTCCCACTTTCTCTCCCTTTATCAACTACAGTTTGAGGTCTCCACCAAAATGGGCTGTTTTCAGTTAGCTGGTTAACTCAGAGCCATCTCCCCTAATCATGCTCCTTTTGAGACGATCCTTGTTGATTTCATTTTGAAATCCAAGTTGCCAAATAAGGTGAAAGTTTTCCTGTGGGTGTATTCAAACATAACTAAGTACCAATTCATAACACACACACACACATACAAACGGATCCCCGTGTAGCTTGAAACAAACCATCAAACTATATTATGTGGAGCACAGACTCTGATAACATACGAAGTTAAGACAAAGAGCCCAATATAACAAAGAAATTCGAGGAAAAACAAGAATAGACGCCGATAAGAGCGATAGAATCAGAAATGGGTATATGAAGAAGAAAGCGAAATTACCTGGAGAAAGTTGCAGAAGGGTTGGCCACTCCAATGGGGAGAAGAATCAGCACAGTGGAAGGCATCTCCAAAGCGAAATTACCATTTTTTGTATAAACACTAAATAGATGGTTTTAAATTTACAGATTTCGGCTGCCCATATCCACATTTGGGTAATGCCTCTCATCATCTTACAGAGTCTGTTATGAATTCCGACCCGATTCAAACGGATTTATCTCTGATTCCATTGGAACCAAAAACAAAGGAAATGAGATTGAAAAGGGGAAGTTCAAATTTCAATTTATGTAATTTAATTTATTTTTTATTTAAAATATCTTTTTGGCTCACCAATCTTGAAAATGGTTTTCTACTATAAATGTTAAAAAGAATATAGAAAGTTTATTTTCTTTGTTTGAAAATTATTATTTTGATTTGAGAGTATTGGGGTTGGAGGCAATTATTATTATTATTTCAAAAGAACAAAAATGTAAGTAAATATAAAATAATTAGTTTTTAAAACTATTTAATGTTTAAATTAATAGGAAAAAATTCAACAAATCGAATGTTGATCATATATGTTCCATACTTATCATCTACCGTAAATTCTCGATGAAGATTATAATATTTAAACCACTTTCAATCTCGAACAATCATTCGAACGATACTAGAAAAACATACTACAAATATATGTTACCTCAAATGGTTTAAGATAACGAATTTATAAACCGAAAATAAAATAAAAAGGAAGAACAAAAATTTAGGAAGCCAATTATATTCCAATTTAATTATCGATGGAAGTGGAAAATATTTAAATGCAAAAGAAAAAAAAAAGGTGAAAAATTAAACCGTGACGATATGATCATGATCCTCCTCATTTTCCACCCTAACAAAATCCTTCTTCCTACACTCGCAGTAAAAAACTGTAGTTACCACATACCCGGAGATAATCACCATTCCGTACAGCGAAATTAACCCCATCTTATCCCACACGCCTATCGCCACATTGGACGTAACCGCCGCCGTCGTCCTCATCCAGTGATCGACGCCGTCCATAAGCCCCTCCATCTCCCACGAGATCGAACTCGACGCCAGAAGGAACATCGCCGTGAGAATCGAACCGCTCAGTCTCCGATCCGCCATTAGAGCCGCTGCAGCACGGATCGCATCGAAACCAAATCTCTCCTCAGCGATCGACACAACAAGCCCCAAACTCAGGACCGCAATCAAATAAACCTCGAAAATCACGCCAGCAACTAAAATCGCGAAGCGCAGAGCCGGAGATTGAGAAATCGAAGCGAGAGTGTTCGGGACGATGGAGTACGCAACGAGAATGGCGTAGATGCAAATCGTAGTAACGAGAGGGCGATTCCATGAGTTTTTGAGAAGAGCGATGGTGGATTTGAGAGTAGGACGCTTGGCGTGGAAGGAGTGATGCGTGAAGGAGACGGTAGAGAAGGCGGTGAGAAGGGAGAAGGCGTAGATAGGGAGGAAAAACGCCGCACGAAGGCGGAGGAGGGAGAAGGCATCATCGCGAGACTCGGAGAAGACATGACGGAACTCGAAACGGGTGGGGGAATGGCGGAGGACGGATTCGAGGTGGAGGATGTGGGATTTGAGAGGGTGAGAAGAGAGAGAAAGGGCGAAGAGGAGGAGAGAGAGAGGGAGAGCGAAGAAGAAGAAGATTGAGAGGAAAATTCGTTTGTTTCTGGAGAAAATTTGAAGGGAATTGAAGAGGATTTTGAAGGGGAAGACGAAGAAGAAGCACAGAGATTCATGATGCGAGAGAGAGTCGTCTCTTTCCGACATTTTTCTCGGATTTTCCTTTACTCTCTCTCTCTCTCTCTCTCTCTACTGCTCCCTTTCTCCTCTTCTTTGTTCTGAGATTTCAAGTTTTCTAGGTGAGCCGTTGATTTTCAGCAACAAACCCTAAATTTGATTTCCATTACCAGACATCATATAATTGAGGGAGGAAACCCTAAAAACAATTGTCTTAATTATAAAGTAACTGAATTGTCTTTTCTTGAACAAGATAGAACCGAATAAAACCCATCCATTCTTCAAATTTTCAACCAACCCAATCAAGAGTTACCTAAACCCATCCCCATTTTTATTTTCAACCCACTTCTATAAGGAATGTTTCGTTCGCCTCTCCAACGATGTGGAATCTCACGATTCACCCCTCGTGGTAGCCAGCATCCTCTCTAACACACCGCTCAATGTCTGACTCTACTACCATTTGTAATAGCCAAAGTCTACCGCTAGCAAATATTGTCCACTTTGGCCTATTACATATCGTTGTCATCCTCATGGTTTTAAAACGCATCTATTAGGGAAAGGTTTCCACACGTCTGTAACGAATGCTTTGTTCTCTTTTCAACCAATGTGGGATCTCACAATCACCTCGTTTGGAGGCCAGCGTCCTCGCTAGCCCAAGCCCACCATTAATAGATATTGTCCACTTTGGCTCAATTTTTACATCTCAATTTACCAAAATTGTATGTTCACTGGCATCGAAAGAAAAAAGGAGTATCTTACCGTTTGTATGCTCGCTCATCGTAATGTGCTAAACCTGAATTTTCTAGTCTTGCTCACGTTTCATTCCAATGAAGAAAACTTGTAATGCTCCATACCCAAGATTAGGATCTCGACACCTGATGGTGTCCCTGACATTCTCTTACATCCCCACGAATGATCATGTTACCGATTTTTCGCTTCTTAAGAGTGAAAACTATCCTCATAAGTATGCTTTATTTCGTATGAAGTCACCCAATTAGAATTGCTTGAAGTAAAGCATACTTAACTATGAAGTTCTTATGATCAAGCTATCAAAAAAGGAAGATGAACCTTGTTATTATAGCCGCACACATTGCTCTCATTAGATGTGCAGTACTTCTCCCCAGACAGCTCATCCACGCATGCATAGACCCACTAGATAGGCTCGTATATGTACCCTCTAGACTTGGCTTGTCAGGTTTAACTCTTTGATATCTATGTGACACTCGAGTAAATGAGGAGTATATGAATGAACCGATATCACATACGAATGAGAGCGATTCTAAGGATAGAATGACAAAGAAAGTCTTAAAGAAAATGCAAGTAACTACCTATACCAACAAGGTGCACTTTCTTTTTTGGTGGCTCAAGCATGGTTATACATGTTCTACTTAGAGAAATTCTATATTAAGTGACGTTCTAGGAACTTTCCTAAAATGCACATATGTAATAGGTAACATGACCATGTCAGACAGATGCAAAAAGGGAAAAATAAAAAATAAAAATTAAAAGTTGTGATGAGACAAAGTCAAAGTTGTACGTATTTGATCCAATTAAAATCTCACAACCTTAATACTTTTCTAACTTAGTATTTCACCGTTGGTAAATATTTAATTTAGTTAGCGATAAATTTATATGATATGATATAATATTTAGTGAATTGGTTTTAAATCTTTTAATCTTAAAACATTAGAATAAATTTCTAAATTTATTTTCTTACATTATTAAAAGTTTGATTAAAAAAATAAATTAATTAATAAAAATAATCTATACTCTTAAATTTTTAAAAATTACAATAATATCTTTAAAATAAAATAAAAAATTACAAATTTGTTAATTTCAGATGAAAACGGTTAATAATACATTTAATTTTTTTAAAAAACGTAAAGAAAAACCTTTCATTTTTTAAAAATAAATAAATAACATATTTATATTTTTTGAAAAAGTTCAAAAATATACTTGAATTAGTATCACATTTTAGAGATACTCATCGACTTTAAAAATAACCTTAAAAAGTTTTAAATTGTTTTTGCCAGTTGTTTTATTATTGAATTTTTAAAAAAAAACTTTAACTAATTAAACTTTTTAAAATTTAAAATTTAAGGTATTTTTAAGTTATGTATTAATCATTTTCATTCAAACCATTTTTGAGTTTTTTTTTTTAATTTAAAAATGAAGTTGAAGAATATTTTTTTTTTAAGAAAAAATACAAAATTTAGAAATATTTTATTAATTTAGCAAAATAATAATAATAATAATAATAATTTTATTACTTAAAGTATTTGGTGGCCCCACCGTTTACCCAAAACTAACGGCCAATAAACAAATGAACAGAGTGGCAGTTCCAAATCGACAAACTTGTTCCATTTATCCCTGAACCGTTGCCGACGGCGTGTCTATTATCACACAAGCAAGCTAAAAAATTTTCCTGTTTGTCCAATCATTTATTGCCACGTCATCGATAAAGCAATTATTCTAAACTTTGCCTACGTGGCATGTATTCGCTGGCACTCCGACCAATTATGTTTTGCACGAGAAGCAGCTGATAATTTTCTCGTTTTCGGCTGGAAAATGCTAAATCTGTTTTTAATATTTAATTTTCCAAATGTAATTATTAGTTTTTTCATGAAATTCTTTTAGTTTTTTTTTTTTTTTAATATTCTAAGTACCTTTTTGATATATGTAATGCATGGAATTTCAATTAAACCATTTTAAAAAATATCAAAAAAATTATCATAATATATATATTTTTATCAAATCGTTGATTATTTATATAAAAATAAATATTTAAAAGGGAAAAAAAAAGTTTATTATTATGAGTATTATTTATTTATTTATAAATCTCTGTCTTTTTCTCCTAATTATTAGCTTCTGAAAGAAGGTGGGGTATTGTGCAAGAAAGAATCGGACAACAAAGAGAGCTTCATCTCTGTCTCATTTCTGTGTGAGCTGTGTGTCCCTTTGTATTCATCTCTGTTCTTGCTTCTCTCAACCACCCATCACAGGAATTGCTCAAACAATCCAACCCTTTAGCTCCCCGCCACCAACATTTGATTTCCCGATTTTGATCTTTGATTTCTTAACCCTTTTCTTTCTTATTTCATCGTCTTTGCTCTGTTTTTCCTACCCCTCCGGTTTGCCCTCTTATCCCTCGATGTTAGTTGCAAATAGTTTCGATTTGTGGAAGAAGGATGGGTTCTTTTCTGCCGCCGAGCAGGTCCAAGAATCTGCCGATACGTACGTTTTTTACTCTCTGTTTGATTTGGGGGTTTTCCCCTTCTTTTTCTTTCTCTCGATGTTTAATTGAATTCTGTTTTGATTTGTTTTGGAGGATGTTTTGTTCTAATGATTTGGTGTTCTGGGTTCGTTTTATTTGAGTCTGGAATGATCTGTTTATGGTGATTCGTTTTAATGTTAGTTTCCTATTCTGTGTCTAAGTTGAATGAGTTTCTACTATAGTGATGGTTCTAGAACCTGAATTTTATCTGCCCTGGATTCTACAAGTTTGTGTGCTTACCTGGGTTTAGAGGGTTCTACAAATTTCTCCTATATTGATACTCATATTGGTTTATGATTTTAGAATGGAGTTTGCATATAGGACATGGGTGAGAGAGATGAGAGAAGGGCTAAGTCCTGATGATTTGGATGAACTTCGACGCGAGGTTCAAACAGCTCTTGGCACAGCCAAATGGCAGGTAGGATACTGAATTTAACGAAATTATGCCATCAAAATATCATAATGGAATGATAATTAGGATACTTAGATGATAAGCCTGATTTTAAGAACAGTGACAACTGACCATTAGTCTTGTTTGCTAGTCAAGCTATGATTATACATTGACTTATATGAACCTATGGCTCTACTTTTATAAAACATAGTAACAAGTGTTGTTTTTTACGGTCTATAATTAGCTGGAAGAGTTTGAGAAAGCTGTTAGAGTTAGCTATCGTGCTCAAAGTGAAGAACATTTGTTGGAAAGACATAGGCTATTTATTGCAGCCATTGGAAACCAAATTTCTCATGTTGAAGCTGCTTTAAGAGAATCTTATGACAAAGAGGGCAAGAAGCCTCTTCGATGGGTGAATTTAAACAAGGAAGAATGCGACGATTTGGCTACGTTTCTCTCTGGCACATGCCAAGTACCACAAAGCGCAAAAACTGAATCATCTGTGTGTTGTTCTTCAGCAAATGGGGAAGAATGCGACGATTTGGCTACATTTAGAAGAGTGGATGATGGACTACGCAAAATGGATAGATCAACAAAGGCAAGGAGAGCGAGCTCGCCAAGCGCTCCTGATCTGTAAATTGTAATTGTGGATGAAAATCGAGAGAGAAAACAGTCTATGACGAGTTTAGAAGTTTCAAGAAAAGGAAAAGCAGGATCAGTCTTCTGGAAGCTTGGATGTCAAAAATTTTCTCAGGTGAGTATGGTAGGGAACAAGAATACTGTATATTTTGTTCGGTGTAATTGGGCTCTTATGCGTTCCGAACGAAAGTAACTGTAACTGACCGTTTTTTCTATCAGCTCTTTGGTAGGGTTCAGCAGAGGCAAATATACAGACCTTGGCATCTTCAGCTTGCATGTTCTGTTCAGTTTACTCTTGCTTTGATGTTAACTATATTCTTGATCGGTGAGTTTCTAATTTTCTCGAGGATGTGTGGCGTTCGAGTTTTAGAAATTTACAAAATTTTGATTTGATTTGGAGTATGAAGAAATTATGTGGTTTTTTATTTACTTTCTGTCTGATTAATTGACAATGTTTGGGGGAGATTTTAATGTTATTAACGCCTCAAATCCACCACTAGCAGATATTATCCTCTCACAAATGTGTGAGGGAGTTGTGATCCTTATCATATTGTATCAAACAATGTAGGAGAAAGACAAAGGATGGCCCATATTGAGGATAAAAGGATATAGAAAGAATAGGAGGAATATTGAATGACGACCACAAGTTATCATTAGTCGGAGACAACAAGGAATAACAGTATGCAATACAATTTTAGAGTGTTATGTAATATTAACATACATAAATAATGTGAATAATATTGAATGACGACCATATACTGTGTAGATGAAAGATGGTAAAGAAGAGTAGTGTGTACTATATTGTAATATTAATATAATAGAAAGTCAATTATTCAGATAAAACTACACAATTATTTAACTAAAAACATAATATAAATGGAATAATAATTTATAGCCAAAAAAACAAAGTCAATGAAATAATTGTAAAAGAAAAAAGAAGACAAAAAAAACATAAAGGGAAAGCTCTGATACGCTGATTTTATCTCGTCAGAAGGATCAGACGGTTGTGATCGACCCTGATCACAGTCAACGCTAAATTTCTTCATTGCTTTATTATCCCAATATATTGCACCAGCCGGGAATCGAACCCGGGTCTGTACCGTGGCAGGGTACTATTCTACCACTAGACCACTGGTGCTTGTTGCTTCAATATATCATCAATATTTTTATATCCTGTTAAAAAACCTCGTAGCTTGCATGTTGTGGAGGCTAATCCGCTGGGAGAAGGCCCTCCCTTCCAGCGCCACCGTCACCAGTGGAATCACAGACGCAAAAACCTCCTCCGGCTGCGGCGGCGGTCGGGGATTGTGTTCGAAACTGGAAGGGGTTCATCTGGTTTAATTTTTTTTTTAGATTTCAAGACAGAGCAGGACGAAGCTAAGAAAAATTGTTGCAAGAGTGCATATCTCAATAAGTATTTCAACCCTGGTTGAAGGAAACATCCTAATCGATAAATTTATTCTTTTTAATAAGCCCCAAAAAAACACCAAATTTTCTCGAAGGTGACATTAAACAACCTCATAAAAAACCAATCTCTAATAAGCATGTCTACAATACCAACCAAATTATCGCATCCTTTTAACATACATTTTTAAAACACTCCTACAATGAGCTCATAAGTTGTAGCCCAAAAACAAAGCCTAAAAAGTCCTGCATTTCCAACTCACATAAATTCAATGTCCAGTTTATTAGTTTATTATATTTTATTGTTTTTGCATTAATTAATTAATTACATTGTGAAGTTTGTGAAGGAAGCTAATAAAGACTTCACGCGTTCGCTTCTGTATTGTCGTCTCCTACATGAAGACCCACCAACAACATTATTTCACAAAAATGTCAACGAACTTATGGGTCCAGATTTGATCTATTCTTCTCTTAGGAAGCTTTCTGGCTATTTTCTAAGATTTGAAACAAAAAAATTACCTTCTTTAAATAATTTTGACTGAATTTAAATTGAAATTAAGGAAACATAATTCTAAAAATAAACGATCCTTCTCTAAAAATGATAACTAATGACTTTGCAATCATATATGCTAAGATACTAAATTTCAAGAAATTATCCAACATCAAATGTCCCCATAAACTGACTCAAAATTTGTATAATTAGCTAGATACGCCCGATAAAGATTTCAAAACCAGACTTTTTTTTTTTTCACAAAACAGAGAATCTCGATAAAGGGATCCTACAAAAAAAAAAAAAAAAAA